AACGGTCAGATAAGAGAGGGCATTGCCCGCAGCTGCATAACGGGCAGAGAAAGACACTCAGAAAGGATCCTCCTTAACTTATCAGGTTGTAAAAGAGACGGGGGGAGAACTGTATTTTCAGGCTGGCAAGATTCAGTTAATGTAGCCTCTCGATAAAGTAGAATTAGCCCATCTGGTCGTGGTTCCTGTCTGGTCTACCTGGGAAGGCTGGCACCTTGACCCACGATGGAGTAGATTAGAATACGGGGCGTGGTGCACTGAGCAAGAAAGATAAGAGACGGCCTTTCAAGCTGGACAAGCTCTCAGGCAGAAAAATTTGGGAGAGGAGGCAACAGGAGCGTAGGAACCGGAGGCGTTGGACCAGGGACATGTCAAAGAAGTCAAGATGGCAGGCACAACCAGGTGACTGAAGCCCCGCCCCTTTAAGAAGGGGGTCTGGCCACCTGGTTGCAGCTGCCATCTCGAAGGCACGCCGGTGCATCGGATCTCGTTCCCGGCACAGTGGATAAAGGGAAGGGCGGCTCTAACCCTGGGTTGATTTGGCTTTAAGGCTATCGCAACGCTGGCCGGAGAAACTGACCAAGAGTTCCAGGCCGTGGACGTACAGAAAGGGATGGAAGAGAAGGACGAAGGACACCCCAGGGCTGAAGTTGCTCCACAACCCAAATCAAGCATCGCCCCACAACCACCCCTGAACCCCAGGAGCCTGCTGTACCCACAACGCTACACTGACCCATATGATTCGAGGAGGTATTTTGTGACAAGGGTGAGTCAACCCAGCCGCCGTGGGGGTCTGCACGAGGGGGCAAGGGTTGCCATGGCACACCTGGCGCCTTCGCGGCTTCTTCCAGGGGCCTGTGCTTGGCGCAGGAAGGGGCGGGGAGCGCGTCCGAAGGCAGGAGGCGTGTGGCTGGGGGCCCTCCTCCTCTGTGCGGGGCCCGTCTTCCCTGTCCCACGGCCCAGATGCAGACCTGGGCTTGCCGTGCGGTTGCGACGGGCACCGCTGGGGGCTAAGGGGCACCCAATCGGCACTCCTGCCCGAGAGGCGATTAGGGGAGGCCGCCTCTCCCGCCAGGTCAAGCGAAGGAGCTGCCTCAGAGAACTGGTCTCAGAGGTCTGAAAAAGTGCTGTTATGTTTCATTTATTATCCTATCGTTCCCGGGGGGGGGGGGCGGGGGGAAGAAAAGCCGCCGCGTGGGGGGGGGGCTTT